TTTTTTTTTTTTTTTTTTTTTTTTTTTTTTGATGGCACTTTTTTAAGAGGAAAAAGAGGGCACAAATCAAAGACAGAAAGATTTGCATCTCCATGTAAAAATGATTTTATTTTACATAAATAGTGTAGGGTGAACCAAGCAAGCATATTGTCATCTAGCATTCCTAGGATTACATTAAAATCAGCAGATGGGCAAGTTATGATTATGTTAGACTTGACATATGCAGAAATTATACTACTGCACTTTTATATTAAAAGCACCATGGGCATTTTGAATGAGATAATGAAAGCAAGAAGACGTAAGAACTTTTGTTAAAAATTAAAAAGGTATCTTTGGGCAGTAGTTAAAAAATACTTTGTGAATCCTTTCCTCCTCTCCTCTCCCCCTAAAAATTTTAAATCTTAAGAGAATATTTAGCAAGCTATGACCAATGCTTAAGTGCACTGGTTACATAAGCCCGCTATCTCCAGGTAAAGGTTTGCTAATTGACCGGGTATTATTGTTCAGAACCTTTAAAGGGAGAGATATGAAAGGCAGCAATGAACAATGTTTGCTGCGCGGTACATTCAGATGAGCTGTGGTCTCTGTCCTCAAGGAGTTATAATCTAAAGGGTGGGAAATGTACCCACTCTAATAACTATGATACAAAATACATATTTTAAGGAAGCCAAGGAGGGAGGGAGTAAATCCTACAAGACCAATTAAGGAAGGCTGTGAGTAAGAAAGGTTATTGTTGTATTTGATTTGGGTGATATAGTCATATGCTAATGATAATAAGCAAACACCTTAAATAATGCTGCTTGCTGCTAAAACCTTCACATGTACTATTTATTTACCTGGGTTTAATCCTTACAACTCTATGGAGTAGGTATTTTTATCATTCCCATTTTGCAGATGTAGTAAGTGAGGTACCAAGGTTAGATAGCTAGTAAGTGGTAGAACTAGGATTCCAACCCAGGTATTCTGGCCGGTACCTGTATTGCTGTACTTAACCACTATCATTTTTTTCTCTCCCATTTATGATTGTCTTTCTCAGGTCTGTAGTTTTGAAGAATCGATTTGGGAAAATACATTCCTCTGACATCTAAAGTTTGGGATCAGTTTTCTAGAAAGAGCTCCAAAATAATGAAAACCCAGATAAATGAGTTATTTTTGGCATGTCAGATATTTTAATCCATTTTTGGAAGTTGCTCTTGGAGCAAATTAAATGTAACCATTGAGTGAAACTTTTGATAACTTGGACTTATTACCTGTAAGTACCCGTAAGAATTTAGAAGTGAGAAGTTAACTATATTAACTCCTTTGCCTATGGAATGTTTGATTCATTGTATATTTTGTTCTGTAGTTTTTTAAATCACTTGGCACTGGGTATTTTTTGGATTGAATTATGAAGTTGAAATTTAGTTTATGATTGAATGTTGGTCTCAGCTGTTCTAGTTTTTATTTCCCAAAATAGCTATGCTTATAGTGGCCGAAACAGGGTTTTGAATAGAGTGTTGTACATATATAAAATGAGAGAAGTCAGTCACTAGTACTTTATATTGGGGCACCTTTGAAAGTTCTTTGGGATTATGAAATAAAAAGTGCTATAGGAATGCACTGTGCCTGCTATAGGCCTACTCAATAAACGCTTGTTGAAAGAATGGCCTAATTTTATTTATGAAGTTTCAGGAATATCCCACATTTGTTATTGGTTATCTAAGAATTGGAAGCACAATAAAGTCAGTTGGATTTAAAGGTTGGAAAAAAATGTATATCTAGGCAGGGAGTACAGGGATGAGCAGTGGTAGGGGTACTGCTTATCCTTAACTTATCTAGCACAGTCCAGACACTTCAGCTCCTTTGTCAGAGTCCCTGATTGTCCACACTCATTTAGTACTCATCTAACTACAGCTCCAGAAGCTCAGTCTGTGTGAACAAATGTAATAAGTATTTTCTTTTTGACATAGTGCAGTAGGTTCTAGAAAACCCACATAGTAGGATAATTTATGGTTGATGAGCTTAAAACCTAATGGGAAAAGTGGCAGAACGAAAGCCAGGATTTAAAGCCCATATGTTTATATTTTAAAAATAAGACAAAGATGGCAAAACAAATAAAAAACAAACTTTTTTTTTAATGGACCTGAAATAGTGAT